AGTTCATTGTCACTCACCTCCAATTACAGAGGCTGCAGCTCCTTCCTTCAGAGCACGCTGTATCTGGTGAGCTAACCTGGGCACTAACAGGCATAACCTCTGTGCAGGCGAGCGGAGGTGAGGCTGTTTGCTGCTGGGTAATTGCCCTGTTCATCAGTTTCCCAGCCCCGGGGTCCTCCTCATGTCATTAATGTGTGATTAGGGCCGGTGGGGAGCAGCAGTTAGGAGGTTAAAAAGCCTCTGACAGGCCTCATCATGAGCGAGGAAAAGCCTGAGACTGATGCAGCAGGCACACAGATGGGCCATAGACACCGCTGCCAGAACACTAACTTGTTTTTCATCCTCACCTCCAAAAATCAAGCAGTGCTAATAAATGGCCAACACGAGTAAGCTGATGCAGGTGCCGGGGGAGTTACACCAGATTTTTAATTTTTTAAGGAAAGCCGGTGCGAAGACATTCATCTCAAAATTGTCGACCAAAATTCAGAGAGAAGAAAAATATTGTTTGCTGAAACTTTGGAGTACTAATAATATTACCACTTCAAGGCATCTCACAGTGCTCTCATATTCAATACATATTCATTTGATGGTGGTATGCTTCTATTGTTGCCACAGATGTCCTGGGGCAAATGGAGGCTGCCAGTGTGCGCCATCAGCCGTTCCAACGAACCCAGGGAAGATTGAACCCATGACCTTGTTGCTGTGAGACAGTGTTTATTGCTCAGCCATTGCTCTACGTGCCTCAATTATGGGTAAAAGCAAAACTAGGCGTGGACAGGTCAATGCGTTATTATTGCAGTTGATAATTCCTGCATTAACTGTGGTTATTATACAGCTCCTCACAGCAGCAGTAGAACGCTCCATTCATTTGAATGTAATTTCAAAACGTTCTACCGATCCCTATTTCTTGATAACGGACCTCTAAAACCAATAATGACTGCTGTCCATGGCAACGCAATCTGTGCTTGTTTCAGATGTGTAGATTACTCCGCAAGTAGTTTCAGCCACACGACTCCCGTCATTACTTCTGTCTAGCGAGATAAGCTAGTTCCGCTCAAAAAACACAAATAACAATCAATAAACACATTTAAATGTGAATCGGAGAAAACATTATACATATACATTCTTAACACACGTGCACGGAGGTTTTCAGAATGATCTGTTAATGTTTTTATGACAAAAATACTTCAATGCGACAAAAAGTGATTGCAATAAACCCCGAAGTAACCATTACCATTATTAAAACATTCTAGGACACTTTTTCAGAAGATCTGGTTATGGATTTAGGTTGAGTTTATATTTGGGTAACTCACCGCTGATGTTAAAAAAATGTCTTCAGTTTTCGTGTAGTTCGAGAAAGTTCTACACTGTAAACCCTGACAAGTAAAGTTTACTTGAACAAACCTTGGAAATAAATTGCATATTAACTTCACTTGAATTCCTCGAGTTCATCCTTTACTTGATATTACCAAGTAAACTCATGTGATTGCGATAAAGATTAAATTTCAATTTATGCTCTGACCGGGATTCGTACTCACAACCTTGTAGTTAAGAGGTAGTGTGCTACCCACTCAGCCACCATGGATACACCTGATTTGTTAAAGAGTCTACACGTCAAAATGTCAAAAGTGAGGCTTACTTGAACAGAGAGAGTTCAAATCCTGAGTGATATAGGCAAGCTTTAAATAAACTAACAATAAATGAGTAATATCCACTTACTGGGAAAAAAATCTATTTAAAATAACTTTGATATCTGAAGTACGATTGAAGTTAGGGTTTACAGTGTTTTGAAGTAGCTAGCCGAGCTAGGCGGAACTTTTATTTGCTACTTTTTTATTTGCAGTAATTAAATAATTAAATTAAATTATTTTAATAAAAAAAATTAAATTAAATAAACCTATTGGCATTCATAAAAAGTGGACTGAAGTTTATTTTGTGTTCTTAGCCGTTTAATAAGAGGTAAAATGTACGCAGGTCATTATCGGAAAAAAACAGCGTCGATCCTGATTGGCTTTTTTGTTGCTAGGCTGTTGCTACCTATCATTTGACTCCATATTTCCGCCTATGGAGTTTGAGTTAGCTCTACTTGGTTTCTTCCTGTTCAGTTTTTCCAATTTCCAAAAAGGCATGCTGAATACTTGAAACCCATAGTGGAGAATGACCAATCAGCGCCCACAAACCAGGTTTAACGGACATTTCATGTTTACTTTGAAAACAACGTTGGTACTCCCTGCATGTCTATTAAACCGAGCTTTGAGCAGTTAGCATCACTGTTACTGTTAACATCACTATTTCTGTTTTCCGTTTGCCTCAGACAGACGCTCTGGATATGTTCATTATCCCTAAATATTCATGCTCATGTCCCGTCGTTTGAACATAAAAATAATGGGCCAGTCAAGCAACTTTATTTCCTATTGTAGAGAATGAGCAGCCCCGAAGCTTGTCTGAGTAGGAACTTAGTAAAACAAAACCTTTTGCTGAAACACCGTGTCTATGAAGGCTACACAACTCCATTTAATTCATTCAATCTATTTTTGTATGGACCTAAATCACAACAGCAGTCATCTCGGAGAACTTTAAAGTTGTCGGTTTACCAATAACAGATCAGAGAATCAAGCACCCAGGAAAGGAGATAATAACAAACACATTGAAGCCATTGATCCATAGGGAGCAGGTAGACCAATGTTCATAAATGTTAATAACTACGTTGAAGTCCATGAAGACGTACCTATAAATACGCAGGTAATTTATTGGAACTAATTCACACTTTCTTAGTAACTTTGTGACATTGATTGAACTTGAAGTGATGCTTTGTCTCTGGAGTTTCTCACTGACAAGTTAAAGTTGACACAAGCAATCCCAGCTACAAGCGGAAGTTTCTGCCTCGCGCTCGATCATGTCAGGTTTTTGGAAGCCTTTAAGTTGTCATCTTTAATACATGAGAGGTGCGGCTGTGTAACGAAGTCATTAGACTGGGAGCAAAGATGAAATATAAATCAGATGTCCCTCTCGGCCCCTCCCTGGTGAACAGGTGGCAGAGTTGAATGAGAGGGTGCGCTAACTTGGCTGTCACCGTGTTTTCCAACAGAACCGCTGCCTTCTAAAGCCAAAGCACCGTGAATTATACATCTATGGCAGTAATTCTCTGGGCGGAGGGGGAGACGGTGAGAAGGGAGAGAGAGAGTTAGGGAGATTAATGGCTGGAGCGGTTGGTTTTGACGCAGCGATCTTTGGCGCAGCTTCCCACTCGCAGCTTATTGGCTTTTCAGACCACATTTATTTATTTCGTTAACAAGAGAGAACGGTGCACGTCGCTGTCACTTTTTTGGCTCGTGGTGTTCCGAGGGCAGACTTGTCATCTCCTACACCATGGTGCGCGCCTTTGAACCCTGCCATGGACTGCAGAGTGTGAATATTAATAGTGCAACAAATAAGACTTTAAAAATAGCTGGATTCTGTCAGAGGCCAAGTGCCAGTGACACTTTTTGTCAAGCTGACATACCTGCGGTGGAAAACAGAAGCTGCTAGAAAACAGTGGTGTCACATGCTTTGTAGTTGGAAAATATGAAAACTCATTAGCACATATTTGTAGTTGAACACATTGTTATTTTATTCCTCATTATGGAGTCCTATACAAAATGAACGCTTTTTACTCAGTCCAAAATATGTGAGAAGAGAATGTATTGGTTAAAACAACAGGTGGCATCAACACAACAGATACAGTGTAACACAGGTTTTCCATTGTACAGTATGTCATAGAAGTTCACAGAAAAGAGAATTGTCGCCCCTAAAAAGAGAAATGTGTCTGATTGGTCTTTAGTGGCAGTGTTTGCACAAGAAGTAAGAGTTAAAACTTTTCTTTTGGCAATATGGCAAATATTTTTATCACAGCTGGTGTTCCTCACTTTTTTTTCATAGATGCATTTTGTTTGTCCCAGCGGAAAGAGACTTGTTTAAGTTTTATTTTATGAACAAGTCAGACCACACCATACTGAGAGCTGATAGCAGGTCCTCTCTTTTTGTTGTTGCTAAGAAGCAGATCTAAAGATGTGACCAAGGCCAAGAATACATAGCTTTTAAAGGTATTTATGGAACTCAACCATTTTAAGCAGGAGGAACTTGCATGGACTTTATAGGCAATTTTTTTCTAGTTTAAGTACAAATAACTTTCAATTCATAACAGTTGTTCTGAAAAGAAAAAAAAACAAAAACTGTTCAGTCACTTTATCATCTTGTTTATTATAGTCATATTTTCTGACAAGTAATTAAAAATGATTTGCAATGCATTTAAACCCAAATTCATTCAGTTGTTGCTACAGCTATCACCAAACTGATTTTAACCTTTTATTGATGCCACATGACTTATGCATTACAATTCCTCAGGTAGTACATGCTGATATAATCAATCATCTCATAACCTAATCTGTGTCCTGCCTCCCATGGGGGCGCTGCACAAAGACCGTGGGCAGCTAGGCCAATAAACGTATTCAATCCATTTTCAACACAGAGCGTCATGCAGCAGGTGAATGTGTCTGGGAGGCCATGACCCTGAGATCCCCCACCTGTGGATGACAGCAGAAGTCTTCCAAGGAGTTCATGTTACCAATGTCATAAAAACAAGAAGGCACTGTTCCCCCACTGAGCTCCTTCTCCTTTTGTCTTGGAGGGACTGTGTGCCGGGCATGGTAGGACGTGCTGGCAGAGCTGAAACCAAATATTATCACTGGGGGGAATCTTGTTTCATGTTACTGGGCAGCAATAGGCCAAGCACTCTGCTCCACAATTAACAGGAAACAACTGCAGACGTGATAGAAAGAGAAGAAGTGACAAGACAAGTACTTTGTGAGAAACTCTTTAGCCTTAGTTTGATTGAACGACCCTTAGCATGACATATTTCATACTGATGTACATTCAGCTCATGTGATGACCGCTTTACTCCCCCTCCACCGCGACCCAGGTCAATATCTCACTTTACCGGCAGCTACACTTTCCTCTGTCACTCAGGGCTCCAGACCATTCATACAACAGGTTTGTCCAACAAAGGAGGCCGCGGGGGAGCTGCCTGAGCCTTCTGCCGGCACACAAACACTATCACACAGAGAAAGAGCCCGACTGTAAGCTCCAGTGTGACGGCTGCTTTGTGCTCGTCCGTCAGCCGGGCCCTGGCTCCTGAAGATACCTTCAGTCAGCGAGCCCGGCTCCCTGAAAGGAGGGATTCACACAGCCCTGAAATATTCATGTCCGGAGGGCACCTGCAGCACAGCCACCTTTTGACCTCGGGCCGCTATAGTCTTGGAGAAGGCTGCGGATGACAGAGAGAAGCGGAAACTGCTACTGAAGGCGTGGTCAGGCTGGAGATGGGAGGAAAAGTGCTTTGATGTTTCAGTTGTTATGAAATAAAAGTAGTATAACATGTCCTTTTCTTTAATGAATTATTGAATGAAAGCTGTCTTGCCCCAAAGGGAATTTGTCTTTCACGCCAGAGCACATAAAGCACATAACAAAGCACAACACTGTTCAAATCAGAAGAGACACACAGTTCAACATCGGCACATGTAGTAAGTGGCACTTAGAGTTTATTGAGCAGCTGAAAACTGCGAGGGACTAAGGCTGTGATGCCTCTCATGGTCTTCATGCGGCATCACAAAACTTCCTCCAGATGGTAACAACCGTTTTCAAACGTCAAAACACAAAATGTGTCGTCCACAATCTTCTCAACACCTTGTATCTTCAAAGTTGCGTCTGATACACTTTCCTCTGATACCCCACACAGACGCAACAAAGTCCATTTCTTCTTCGGAACACTGCAAAATGTAATGAAAAATAAGTACAAAATGAAGAAATTCACTTTATTTTGAGCAGATTTGAACTGCTCTAAAACAAGATTTGCAAATGGAACAAGCAAAATGAACTGAAAAAAAAAATAGAATGAGACAATAAAGCAACAGTTCTTGAAATAAGACTAAATGGTTGGTCCTATTGGTAAATCTGGTTTTTAAACAGTCAGAATTAAGATCAAAACCACTCGATTCAAGCAATTATTACCTCATACTGTATAATTTCAGTTTTTTTATTTTGAATCCGAGTATCCATAAGTATAGAAATGGACTGGTTTCTTTCCAAATAGATTATACATCATTATGCAAATTACCTGTATCTTAAAATTATGATTTGCCTCTGGATAAGACCAAAATGTTCTCAGATTTAGGACAAGGGATTGATGCATTCGAGAGATGAGACGAGAGGAAAATAGGGCGATAGTAAATGGATCGGGACTTTGACATTCCTGTGGGCGATGTGTGTCTCGTCACCAAATGTTCGTGTATTCTTTTAACGGGAGTCAATATCTCTTTCCGCTTCCCAAGCACTCAGCGTGAGCCGAGCTGGGGCAATACCATTGAACTGGGACAATGGGCCCTCTTAAAAGGCAGCTTTTAACTAGGTGCATGAGCGTGGTTATCAATATGACGCACAGTTTTCTATGGGAAGATCAAATGCAAAGACAAAGGATAAAAACGCAGACAAATAAACGGCTGGAGGGAGTTGATCGTCAATGCGTTTTTCTCTGAACATACAAACGTTTCTCCTCTTTCCACTCGCGCTCAGGCATACATTAGCACAAGTTGTGAGCGTTTCAAACATTCTCACGGCACGATATCACTGTGCACGGCAAAAAAATATATCGAATATGAGGTAATAGTTGCTTGAATCTGTTCTGACTGTCTTAAAACAATTAGATTTGGAAATGGGACAAAGCCATATTTCAAGAACTGTTGCTGTATTTTCTCCTTCCAAGGGAGACATTTCTTGTATCTTTTATATGATATAAGATCACTCTGTTTGTCCCACTGGCAAATCTTGTTTTAAGGCAGTCAGAATGTGCTCCAACTAAGACCAATTTAGCCAAATTTTAGCAATTTTTGACTTCTTTTTTCATCAGATTTTCCAGTGTTATAGTCAAAACGCCGGCTGCGAGGAGAAAGTGAGGGAATGATCCTCGGGAAACACAAGAAGCAGCGTAAAAAAGATATAAAAGTGAACGGTAAAGAGGGGACAGGGGAGGTGGATGGAAAGACTGGGCCCGACAGGGAGGAGCGGGGAAGGAACGAGGGATGGAGCCCAGGGAGGAGTGTGATGCTACGCTTTCAACTGCCTTTTGTGGGCCTCTTTGCAGATGTCACCAGCTGTTCCCCCGCACGCACGGCTCCAAAGCGCGGAACATCGCCCGCGGCCCTCTTCTCGGGCCACCTTTCAAGTGTCAATCAGATGGGGAGGGGTCAGGGGCGTATATCTGTGTGTGTGTGTGTGTGTATGCATAGTAGGACGGGTGAGAGGGGAAAGAGAGCGAGAGAGAGAGGGGGGGGGGGGATTTCGGTCACTGTCCTGAGAACGATGCCAGAGATTCGCCATTGATTAAGCCCCCTCCCTCCCCTCGCTCAATAACAGAGAGGGGATAGAGCCAGGCGTGTGCAGCGTGCAGACAAAAGAGACCCATGGGCAAGGTTAGCTGGAGATCATCCGGACTAGCGATTTAACCAGAGTGCTAGCGAATGACTGTAACCGTGCTCCTTGGTTCAAAGCGTGAGGGTGACCTACCATTACAAGGGGTGAGCAAGGAAAGTTGTCGGACATAAAACAGACTGACATATGGTGACACAGAGACAAACACTGTCTAACAAGGTGTGCTTAACAGTGCTTAACCTTGAAGCGTCAGTGGCAGACATAACTCCAAGACATGTTTATTGACTACATCAATATCAAGTCTATAGCGGCGGAGTCTCTAACCTTCTGATGATCCAGAAGCAATGAAACTTGTCTAGAGTCATTTAATCATTCAGGCACAGGGTCAGTCATAGAAAAGCCTTACGTGGGAAGTTGAGCAATTCGTTATATGCGTCAACCTGTACGCTGTCACGTCAAACAAGGCTTAATGCTGTGAAAAAAAATATATATATATCACAGCTTTTATTGACGTGAGACTCCATGGATCTTTATCTGTCGGTGTAAGCAGGACCATTATACACACTATTGCCACTGCCCTGCTGATAACCTCTGTGCTGAGGCTGGAAAACAAAGGCCTTTGAAGAAGAGAGGAACCGGTGTGTTTCGTGTGATTTATGTCTTCCAAAAACAAGATAGCAGAGTGGAGGGTCCGCAACATGGTCGACCCCGGGGCTTCCTGTCACCTCTTAATGTGTCCGCTACTCCACAGGGGATAGCCGCAGTCAAACACGCACACATGATTTACTGTTGTTTCGGTTACTGGTATTATGTCGGATAATGGTTATTTAATTTGGTACCGTTTCGGGTAAATGTTGTTCACCGACTGTTTACTTAAAAGCTGTGTGTCTGAATGAGAGGAAATGGTACTGTTTCTATTTAAATCATATTTGTGCTTTTAGGCAAATTCAATGACTTGTTCTGCATTTAAGAAGGGACTTTTTAGGAACAAACAATTGTGGGAAAATACATAATACATGATTTCAGTATTTACCCATTCAAACTGGGTTACTGAGAACCAACTCTGGGAAATTTGTAAATCTATCACCAGGATGTCTGACAGGCCTAACTCTACCAAAGCCTCCAGTGGAAACCGGAAGTTGACATTATGTAAAAATAGACATGTAATATTTCTGTATGTTTTCTAAAATAATTTCTGTTGTGCTCAATACCACATTATTTGTATTTGAGGCAGTGAGAAAACTCCCCAATAATGTGTCTTTTTAATAAAATAAAATAAATTCATTCTTGTTTAGCCCTAAATCACAACAGTAGTTATCTCAAACAGTTGAAACACAAGAAATGCAATAATGAAAACACATACTGTAGAGCCTTAAGGGGACCAGATGACCAATGTCCATTAATGTTGATAAATGTCGAGTTCCCTGGATCATCACTGTATATGTTTTAAACAGTACATAGACGTTTTACATCCACTGACGATTAATCGAACAATTCAAAAGTTAGGAATATGCTTCATACCTTGTTATTGCACTTTAAGTATTTTCATGTGTATGAGTTAAAAAAAAAAAGGATTAAAATAGTCAACCATAATAAATAAAACAGCACACACAGAAACAGGAGAAAGTGACCAAAAAGTATATTTAGGAAGATTAGGGAGACTGCGGGTGCGTGTATCCTTTTTGCACTTGCCCTTGATAAATATACCCCTTAGAGTTTCACTATAAAAAGTTTTAATCAAGTAGACATCATGGTGACTGAAAACCCCTAAAAAGATCAATTTGAGATGAATAATGTACAGTACAATTATTATTTTTAATTACTTCAAATTGTTTTTCTCATGCGTACTTTCCAGATGAAATGACTTCAGTCTAACTTCAGTTCACTTTTTTTGTTCCTGAATAAATTCTTAAAACTACTCTGTCAGGACCATTTCTCATTCGGTGTGTCTTCATCAAAATGATACATGCTAATTCTTTGTCATATTGAATCAAATGGAAGTATTTAAACTGCTCTTTAGGTGTCTGGCCATTATAAATGCATCACATAGATTTTTTTTCCTGCTTTTTGGAAAAAAGCACTGACCCCTCTTCGGTCTGCGTCACAAAATGAAAGAAGGCCAAATCGCTCTCTCCTGTCAGACTTGTTGCAAAACACAACTTCAGTCGACGGGCCAACACTTTTTCCAAGGGCTAATATCCTCAAGCATTAATCACTCTTGGGTGGAAAAAAACAAAAACTCTAAGCTTTCACTTCAAACAGGCCTCTTTCCTCCCCGCCGAGCCGAATACCTGGCATTTCTCGGCATCACACAAAGTTGAAAATTCATTAATCAAACGTGTAACCTTTTTTTTTGTCTTTTTACTGCCACACGCCGCTACTGCCCCCGTGCCCTATCCCGCCTCCATCCTCCTCGACCTCCGCACCCAAAAAAGTTCATCAAACGCGTCAGAAATCAAGAGTGGCTTCCTCGATGCTTCCCGGGCATCCGCCTCAATTTGTCTTTGGGGTTTTTGACCATCAACTGTGGCTCTCACCGCGACCCACCTCCAGGGTCACGCACGGGTCTTTATGTGTCTTTGTCTGGCGAACTTTGGAAGAATACCCGTATAGCTATGTTTTTCGGACCCCCTCCCTTCACTGTGAAAAATAGCAGGAAACGTATATCTGTCATTGTCCATTCAGGAGATCACCTGTAAGGAAACGGAGCAGGCTCGACAAGTGCTGACACAATCATCCCTGCGCCTAGCAACACATCCTGGTTCCGGCCCAGACGCGAGGGACCGTACAGTGCGTCTGAGCTCCTGACCCGCTTCCTGTCCCCCCCCCGCATCCATCCGAAAGGCAAAGAGAGGACAGTGGACAGCAGGTTATCGCACGCTAAAAGAAGGGGAATTCTGCAGAGGAAAGAAGAAGTTTGGTGCCAAAGGTTTCACACAGGACTGACAATCCTTGCTTTGTATTTGATGACATTGAGATTGGCAGTTTTAGCAAAAGTAAATGAATGTGCTGTCCTGTAAACTACTGCCACATGGTCCGGGAGTGTCCAGGGTTCGCAATTCTGGGAGGTAGAAGTCAGTACTATTCCCTGGTCCCTTTGAATGACTTTTATGGGCTCGGATTGAAGAGGGCACAAGAAAGGGTTCTCCTGGCAGGGCTAAAGTCTGCAAAAAACAGACTTTCCGTGGAGCTAAAGTGTGGACAAACTTAAGTGTGTGGAGTTTTCATGTTATCCCAGTGCCTGCGTATAGGTTTCATCCTGGCGCTCCGATTTCTCGCTTCCATCGCTTGTGTTGAGTGAGAGGAAAGCGCTTTGGGGCGTCTCAGTTTGCGAAAGGCGCTATACAGTGCCTTGCGAAAGTATTCGGCCCCCTTGAACCTTTCAACATTTCGCCACATTTCAGTCTTCAAACATAAAGATATAAAAATTTAATTTTTTGTCATGAATCAACAACAAGTGGGACACAATCGTGAAGTGGAATGAAATTTGTTGGATAATTTAAACTTTTTCAACAAATAAAAAACTGAAAAGTGGGGCGTGCAATATTATTCGGCCCCTTTACTTTCAGTGCAGCAAACTCAGTCCAGAAGTTCAGTGAGGATCTTTGAATGATCCAATGTTGTCCTAAATGACTGATGATGATAAATAGAATGCACCTGTGTGTAATCAAGTCTCTGTATAGATGCACCTGCTCTTTGATAGTCTCAGGGTTCTGTTTAAAGCGCAGAGAGAACCATGAAGACAAAGGAACACACCAGGCAGGTCCGAGATACTGTTGTGGAGAAGTTTAAAGCCGGATTTGGATACAAAAAGATTTCCCAAGCTTTAAACATCTCAAGGAGCACTGTGCAAGCAATTATATTGAAATGGAAGGATTATCAGACCACTGCAAATCTACCAAGACCCGGCCGTCCCTCCAAACTTTCATCTCAAACAAGAAGACTGATCAGAGATGCAGCCAAGAGGCCCATGATCACTCTGGATGAACTGCAGATAACTACAGCTGAGGTGGGGATGGTGTGTTCAGGGTGATGAGCTGTGTTGCTTTTACGCCAAACATATCGTTTTGCATTGTGGCCAAAAAGTTTGATTTTGGTTTCATCTGACCAGAGCACCTTCTTCCACCTGTTTGGTGTGTCTCCCAGGTGGCTTGTGGCAAACTTTAAGAGACATTTTATGGATATCTTTGAGAAATGGCCACTCTTCCATAAAGGCCAGATTTGTGCAGTGCACGACTGATTGTTGTCCTATGGACAGACTCTCCCACCTCAGCTGTAGTTATCTGCAGCTCATCCAGAGTGATCATGGGCCTCTTGGCTGCATCTCTGATCAGTCTTCTCCTTGTTTGAGATGAAAGTTTGGAGGGACGGCCGGGTCTTGGTAGATTTGCAGTGGTCTGATACTCCTTCCATTTCAATATAATTGCTTGCACAGTGCTCCTTGAGATGTTTAAAGCTTGGGAAATCTTTTTGTATCCAAATCCGACTTTAAACTTCTCCACAACAGTATCTCGGACCTGCCTGATGTGTTCCTTTGTCTTCATGGTTCTCTCTGCGCTTTAAACAGAACCCTGAGACTATCAAAGAGCAGGTGCATTTATACGGAGACTTGATTACACACAGGAGCATTCTATTTATCATCATCAGTCATTTAGGACAACATTGGATCATTCAAAGATCCTCACTGAACTTCTGGAGTGAGTTTGCTACACTGAAAGTAAAGGGGCCAAATAATATTGCACGCCCCACTTTTCAGTTTTTTATTTGTTAAAAAAGTTTAAATCATCCAATAAATTTTGTTCCACTTCACGATTGTGTCCCACTTGTTGTTGATTCATGACAAAAAATTAAAATTTTATATCTTTATGTTTGAAGCCTGAAATGTGGCGATATGTTGAAAGGTTCAAGGGGGGCCGAATACTTTCGCAAGGCACTGTATATATATATATATATATATATATATACATATACAAATTACAGATACAGCACAAGATAAGATTAAGAGATCCTTTATTCGGCCCACAGTGGGGAAATTTCATTGTTGCCATCATTGATTACAGAACAGAATAGGAATGAAGAGCACACAACACAAATGATAAATGAAATAACTCTATACTAAAATAAAATATGATGAAATATGAAATTACCATAAGTATAAAATCTATATCTTTAGCATAATAAGGAAGAAAATCTAAAATACCAAACTTTAGCATGATGAAGAAACAAGAATTAAGAATAAAATGTATAAAATATTGGCATGAGGGTGTGGGATATTTTGCAGATTATATTTTTTCACTTGTTGATATGCTTTCCTGGAACTGAGAATTTGTATGAGTGTTTTACATTTATGTTCTGTAAATATTTATTTTGGATTACACACAAAGAGAAATACATGTACTGTCACTGTCCTAATTGTTCTTGACTTTAACCTCTTCCACACATTCCCACATGCAGACATGATGAAGGCCTCAATAACAGGGAGCTTAACCAGCAACATTCACAAACAGCCAATCCACCACCTGGTAAACACATGTACCAACATTATAGACAGATAGATACTTTATTGATCCCTGTAGGAGAAATTCTGTTGTCCGGCAGCAGAAACACATCCATCCATGCAAACAAAACAAAATGCACTTATTACAATACTACACTGCAAAAACTGATAAATATGAGGTGATAAATGCTTAAATCAAGTGGTATTTTCTCATTCCAAAGGAGGCATTTCTTGTATCTTTTAAAAACAGGACAAATATGCCTGTCTCATTAGCAAATTAAGATAAATTTTTCCCAATTCAAATACATTTTTTGACGTATTTTTCATAACCTTTTGCCATATAGGTACTAACAATACTCCAGGTATTATTTATTGACTACTTTCGGTGATTTTTTTGTCCTAGGGATCGTTACACATTGTTACTTACTTAAAGTCCAAAATGTAAGTTGTGAACTATAACTAATAGTACACGTTCACCGACATGACTTTTGTGTGAACCTCCTGTTGTTGAGTTGCGTTGCAGGATCTGGTGGTGCATGTTTGCAGGTCGCCCGCTGCTCTGTCTTAGCCTTGACTCAGCAAAGCTCCGCTGTTTGATCTGCTGTTGCTGTTGTCATTTAGTGATGTCTCTTTCTATTACACAGAGTACCAGGAAGGGCAGGTCCCTGGGGAGAGGGAAGGTAGACCCTGTTTATCCTGAGCACAATCCACACAAGGCACAGTACACAGCCCTGCACCTGGACTCAGCCTCACAGCCGAGCAAACACACACCACGGCCACTCCAACAGACAAACGTTAGACTAACCAGAGACTGTCGACAGAAATTGGAAGTTATGATTTTTCATGATCACACTCACAAAACACACAGTACAAAATGCTGACTGTGAAAATACTTTAGATGTACATCCACTGATTGCTTTTGTAGAAGGTCCTTTGTGTTGTCCAGTCATTTAAATACATGAAATTTTTTTTTATTGTTATCTGTTGCTTTCTTTTCTGTAGGTGTGTGTATGTATGGGTGTTTGTGTGTGTGTGTATGTATACTGTATAAATGTATGTACTTATACCAGATGAGATTTATTAGGTATAATGTATAGCTTGTTTGTTATAAAAAGAATATGTATGAAATGCATCTTATTCATTCAAAAATAGATAAATCAAATACTCAAATATTATTGTTTTATCCACATGATCATAGAACCACGTCAACCAAGACAAGACAAAACATGATTCATTAGAGTTTGGAAGCGATTCAAAAAGGAACAAACTTGGCAAGGCATAGTATCTTTTGGAACAGGTAAAGACAGATTGCAATTTGGCTCTGAAATAATGTTTTGTTTTGCGTTGATTTTTTGGAAATACTCTGGCTTCAGAAATACCCATCCCCTTTGGGCGTTTTCCAGGTGACTACTATTAGCGCTGACCTCATGTTGGGTTCCTTTATTTTTTTAGACTATATTTACATCATGTGATATTTCAAGTCAGTCTATTCACATCTTTTGTCTCAATAAATAGCCAGTTCCAAGAACACCACAAAGATTTTTATTTTTAAACATGGATGCCAGAACTGAACTTCATATTGTGATGACAGGTTGAGAGGAGATCTGCCTCACCTAGGAAACATACATCACACTGTTGATGTAAATAATCTCCCCTAAACGTGACCAGTGTTAGAGAAAAAGTTCCCTGACCAGTGTTCCCCAACCTTTTTGAGGTTCGACAAACATTTTCATGTAAAAATATCAGATGACTCACTCTGCAGCCTTTATCAACAATGCAGTCATTCTGCAATGCAAGTCATTCTCATTAAAGTATGTTATATAGAATATCAAAGAAGCGCAAAAAGAATTCTTTCTAATCTTCTCACATAACTTTCTTTTCATATTATTTTGACCAATGAGGTGATGTTGTATCATTTCCATAAGGCACACCAACAACATCTCAATGTACACTAATGTACCACGGCCCACTGGTTGAAAAACAATGGCTTGGACGTCTTCTTTCTGGCTGCCAAGTTATTGAAATGAAAGACTTCATTTAAATTGAAATGTAGCAGAATTCAGGCCATTTTGGGTTAATGCGATATATGTGTTTCAACTTTTTTGTTTGGCTTTTATTCATTTTTCAGGCACAGGAACACCTTTTGTAAGCATATTTTTAGTTGAGTTAATTTATGGATGAGTGTGTTTCTGCTGCTGGACACCTGCATTTCCATCTGTCTGTCTGTCTATCTGACTATGTATCTGTCTTTCTGTCTGTCTATCTGACTATGTATCTGTCTTTCTGTCTGTCTATCTGACTATGTGTCTGTCTGTCTGACTATGTATCTATCTGTC